GTGTGTGTGCGTACATACATTTATAAATACATACCCACACATTCAACACTCATATGTGAATGTATATGTGGGTATATATATATATATATATATATATTATATATATATATATATATATAATATAATATATAATATATATATTGAGTGTGTGTGTGTTTGCGTGTGTGTGTTTGTTCGTATCTGTGTACATGCGCGTGCGTGTGTATGTGTGTGTTTCCTTTTTATGTATGAATGTTTGTATATTCACACATAGAAACATATATCGCCCATTTTTAATTATTCTGAGTCAAGGGAAACCCCGCCCAGCTGCCCCGTATCATAATTATGGGTTACCGTGCAGCTATGACAGTAATGGCGTCCCGGCGAATGTTCTTGGTAATCGGCTTAGTCTCATTCGCCGCAGCTGAGGTCAGCGTGACCTCGCTTGCACGATCGCCGCGCGTGGTACCGAGGTCACAGAGGGAGAGAGGAGGGGCGAGTAACACGGCGGGTTGGGGAGGGCGGAGAGGGAAATGGAGGGGAGAAGTGTGGGAGTTGAGATGGAGGAGAGAGGAGGAGAGTGTGAGGGGCGAGGAGAGTGGAGAGGTGTGAAGAGAAGGGGGCATAAGATTTGGGAATGGAAAGGGGGTAACTTAGGGAGGGGGAGGAGAGAGAATTTAGAGGGAAGGGAGGAGAGGAGGGGGTATGGGGAGCGGTGAGAGAGTGTAAGGCGAAGAAGGCTCCGGGCTGATGGTGCTATCTTTAAGAGCGTACCCCGAAAACTTTTTCTCTTGTTTGTTCAATTATCTTCCAGACTCATTTGCGGTGGACGTTTCCTGCCAGAACGGGCGAGCGAGCTTTATGTGTGGAGGAATTTTGGTTTGTTCTTGCTTCATTTGTACAATTCATACAAGATGCGATATCTTCTACATTTCGTGCATTATCTATCGCATTTAGCAATCTCTGCTGTTAATGTCATGTCTCGAACCACGCATTCCACGTATTTGTCCATCCATCCCTCTGTTTAGTTTCAGTGAAAAAATGCACACATATTTTAAATCACTGTTGTTTTTTTACTCTTCCACTCTTGTCACTGATCCTAAAACCACGTGATATTTCCACAACCAAGAATCCTTTGCAGCTTTATCTTCGCCAGAGAAAATCCTAATTACACGGTGCAGCAGGAGGGAGAGAGGGAGAAATAGTCATCGCATGAAATATTACGACACACAATGATACGTATTACTGTTACTTATACGATGACAGGTGTTGGTAAGGAGGATCATGACCAAGATACACACACACGTTACACACCCCGGGGCGCCCTCTCTAGGAGGAAAACCATTCCAATTTCGTATTTAAGAAAAAAAGAAGAACAGCGAGAAAGTTTAAAGTACCAATCAAAGAGGAGGAAGTATGGCGTGCATTTAACAGCAAAAGGAGCGATGACATACCTAGTACTTCGCCGCCGTTAGGCCGATGCCTGAAGGCCGGTAGACAAAGCAACGAGTCATTCCATCTTATTTTACGATCTCTGTGGCGATACCATACGCCTCTGCAGGTCGCCTGGGCTGAGGCGCCCTAGGGGTTCGGCCAACGACGCTGCCCTAGGAAAAAAGGTCGTTTATCGGTTTGTTTTTCGCCAAAAACTTTTTCACCGGAAGACACTTACATGCACCATTAAATCAAGCTCTTTGAGCTGCATTTAGTATTCTATCTGAAGATGGGTCACTTTTTCACATCTCTTGGAACACGGACTTTTCTCGTATATTACTTGCCTGGAGGCTAAAACAGTGCAAAAATGAGCACGCCTTCATCCAGAATGCTTGATGTGAATTGTAAAACCGATGCTTACATTTTGTATGCAGGCTGTAACCATTCACCGTCGTTTTTATTGAAGCACTTTACATCTCACTTCTACCGCATCTGTCACTTTCACAGTAAAGACATTACAGCAATTACGAGAAATATTTATGTGGGTTATAAACTTGTCCCGGCCCAATACCACTCAGATAATGGCTTGGAATGGAGTATATCTGTAGAAAAAAATATTACATGCATTTTACAAGCGTTATCTATGGATTTTTTTCAATGCGATTTACAACTACACTCTGATATCTGGATTTAAAAAATCTTATAAACTTGAAAAGGAGCATATCTGCGCCAAATCAACCGCATACATCTGCATACATAACTGAAGTTACCTTGTGCAGGAGGTCACGGCATAAATCTTGTCTTGCACATGCATAACTTTCCAACTGAGCGGATATATATCAGAAAAGCAATCTTCCAGAAAAAAATATATAGTTATAAATATTCATAGGTCTCACAAATGGCTTGCGGTTTATACTAAGGGCAAAGTCTTCATTAGACGAAATTATAAAGTCTGATGTCCTCTGGAATTCGTCAACACTATTGTCATGTCATCGTCATCATCCCCCTTATCACCACCAACATCATCACCATCGCCACCATTATCATCATTCGTTTCACTACGCTATGTGATAATAATGATAACGAAAATGATAACAACAACAATGATAATAAAAACGCATATTACCCTGACACAGTTGTGAAACAAAGCCAGTGACAGGCTGTGCTCTTACCCAACATTCCCACTCGCATGGTAATTTGACAACTCTGCATCGTCTACCTATTTACTCGACGCGAAATAGGAGAACGCAAATGAGGTTTACTTGTTATCATCATTACCATTCGATTATTCATTGATTCAGTCGCCCCCGGTGAGCACTTGACCCCCGGGCGAAGGCGCAGCGTGGCTCCGACTTGTCCAAACACTCCGGCGCCTCGACCAGCCTGCATTGTTTGACGGCCGACGTGTTTCCAGTCTGTCTGTTTGAGCTGAGACCCGCGGGTAATTAGATATTTTCCTGACTAATGTATTGGACTATTTTTTATTTGTTGTGAAAAGGCGGTTTACATAGTTTACTTGTTGTTTGTGAAATGATGTTTTG